CCCCCTCCCCCGGCTCCCCCCTGCTCTTCGAGCAGGAGCCGTGAGTCCAGGAGGACCCCCAGATTACGCACTGGGTCTGTCTGGGGTAGTGCCACCCCATCAAGCACCAGAGATGACAAAGTCCCGGATAGAGAGGAGCCATTAACCCACAGCCACTCCGTCTTACCAGGGTTCAGCTGAAGCCTGTTGCCCCCCATCCAGACCCTTACAGCCTCCAGGCACCAAGAAAGGGCATCCACGGCATCACTTACTTCCCCAGGGATGGAGATGTATAATTGCGTATCATCAGCGTACTGATGGTACCTCATCCCATGGTGACGGATGATCTCACCCAGCAGTTTCATGTAGATGTTGAAAAGGAGTGGGGAGAGAACCAAACCCTGCGGCACCCCACAGAGGAGGGGCCGAGGATGGGACCTCTCAACACCGATTGGGACCGGCCCTGGAGAAAGGAGGCAAACCAGCACAAGACTATGCCGCCCACCCCCAATTCCTTGAGCCGTCCCAACAGGATACCGTGGTCAACAGTATCGAAAGCCGCTGAGAGATCAAGAGAGCAAGGATGGTCGCACTTCCACCATCCCGATCCTGCCAGCTCCCTTAGCTGTCTTGGATAGCAGGCCCAGTGTTTAAAAAGCCACAATTGCGGTATTTCACCTAAAAATCCTCCAGCTTCCTGTTTCCACCATTACCAAAAGAAATGCCTCTGAGACTAACCTTGGAAGTAGAACAGGAGTGCATTCAGGCTCCCCAGTCACTGCCTCTGACCGAGATTTTAGCTGTGAACCCCTCTGCTTCCTGCCAATGCCAGCCTGAGGCACCTGAAATTCAATGTTCGCTAGTCAAGAGGTCAATTCTTATAGGAACCTTCTTGATAACAAAATGATGAGCACAGGTGCTGCCTCCATCTTCTCCTGACTGAATATGCCACAAGTTCCTTGCTCAACTCCCAGGGACATCTGGCTATTCACTCTGAAAAACAGACAGCAGTCTGGTCTCCAAGGCACACATTACACTTATTTCCTCTCCTTTACACACTACTGTGGTTCCTGGTTATTGAATAAATCTCAAAACCCAGTTTCCTGGAATAATCCAGATGAGCTTTTACCTCTTGTGACAATCTTGTTTCAAAAATCAGAACTTTGCTGCAGGCAGAGAGACATTTGGTTTCCCACTTCTGAAGAGAACTTGACTTTGGAAAAAGCTTCCATTTAATTCAATGTATCTGTTGTCTTCTCCTGAGAAATGGAAGAACATGAAAACACGGTTAATTTCCAGAAGCAGAAATGCAGCAAAAGATTTCCATGTATGAAAGCAGCTACCACAGAGAGCAGGAATTAGAACAAAACAAAGGGTTACTGGGGGACCGCATGCCTCCCTCCAGTAGGACGGATGGACGTGCAGCAGAAGAAAATGCATACAGCAAGTCCCTCTTTCCTACCCTTAGGTTGTATGGATTAAAAAGGGCTCTGCAACACCACAAATTATTTGATTTATATGCAACCCAACTCCCAATGGCTGTGGGCGGTTACTGACATTAAAACCAAATTCAAGAATAGACAAAAATGAAGAGTAAAGATGGACTGTGATGGAACTTTGTCAGAGGAAGGAAGACAACGAAGGGCTGAAGTCCCAAGGGGGTACAGCAGATGCCAAGGGACGCCAGTAGAAAATAGCACCCCTGGCCATCTAAGAACCCGAGGCAGGTCCAAGGTGCTGCCAACTGCAACTGAAGGCGGCCCAGGGAGTGGTCTAAGAACCCAGTGCCTAGTCAGGAGTTGCTAAAAGGCAGCGGCAGGCTCCACAAACCAGCAGCCCCACGGGTAACCCCCCTCCCAAAGCGGTACTTGTGGCCCCAGCCCCGGGACAGAATTAGCAAATCTGAGGTGAGATTGGCCCCCACTCTTCTGGCCTTCTGGAAGAGCATGAAAACCTGGCTCTGTCAACTAGCATGGGGACCAAATGGGGGTCCACAGTACTGGGGGTGGTTGGTGGTTTGAGGACGTTCTCTCCTTCTTTTAGGTTTTGTATATTTTTGTAAAGATTTTTATCCTTCTTTTATCACTTTTTTATTTGTAAGCCATCTAGAGTCACTTATACAGTGAGATGGGAGGCGTATAAATTTGATTAATAAAATAAATAAGTAAATTACAGATAATTCCGGGTTAAGAACGCCTGGGTTAGAGATGACCCATATATAGGAATAGAGCCTACTGTTGCAAAATTCGAGTGACTTGAGTTAAATCCACAATGGTTCGAGTTCATTACACAATACCAGCTACGCGTTATTATACAATAATATTGTTCCGGCTTACGTACAAATCCGACTTAAGGACACACCCCGCGAACGGAGCTCGTTCTTAAACTGGGCACTCCCCGTACCCAAGATTTAACCCCGATGCGCACTTTAACGGTCCGGCTGTCAGAGAAAGGATGAATTTCTCGCAGCTCTGCGCACCGGGCCTGGGGGCGGGCAGCCACGGCCCACTGAAACCCAGTCTCCCCGGCCGGGGGCTGCGCAGGGCCGGCAGAGGTCTCTCGGTTAGGAGCGGGGCCGGAATCTCCGCCGTCG